ATATATATATATATATATATATATATATATATATATATATATATATATATATATATATATATTGGAAACTGTCAATTATCTTTGTATAAACAGAATTTGTTTATTGTTTTTAGAATCTGCAACAATTAGTGGATACACATAGTATTTATTTTACCTTCTGTGGTTTGCCTCCTCACAATATTGGCATAAAAAAAGTCGATTATTCTCCTTCACTTCAAATGAATTTATAATATGGGCCATGTCCAGGCCTACACTACATATAATGATACAAACAATAATACATGGGATAAAATGCATGTACACAATAAGTAGAACTCAGTAGAAGCTAAAATGATTACTTGTTCTCTAATTGTCTTAAGAAAGCGATTTGTGAAACTGTGGAGTCGCAAATAATTACTCCACAAAATCTCACTAGTTTTTAGTTACACCATTTACAACAATAATGAAATTTATTTAATGTTAGAATGCATGGAATTTTCGGAACGTGTCAATTTTTTCTAATTGCAACAAAACATCCTTATTTTATTTAAAATATACCAAAAGTCTCTAAAAATAGTTTTATAATATAATTTTTGTGATTCTTACTTTTCAAAAATTAGATGCCGGGTACCCGGAACCAGAACCGGTTCCGGGAGCGGTTCCAAAATCTTAAGAACCGATGTAACCGGTTCCGGTTCCGGTTCCGGTTCCAACATCCTAGGAACCGCCGGTTCCGGTTCCGGTTCCAGCAAATTCGGTCGGGTACCCGCCTATGCTCACCCCTAGATGAATGTAGACCAATGGTTTTAGTTATTTTAAGTAAAGATTTACCTATCTTTAAATTAGGAGACACAAATTTAAAGTAGGAAACACATGTTTAATTAATGAAAATTTCGGATTTTAAGAGATATTGATTCTTTTAATTTTGAATTCTGATTTTTTTAATTAATTTATTTTTAATTCTAACATAATTTTTAATTTTACTCGATTTTATTCTTTTACAATTCAATTCTGTTAGAACGATATTCTATGAAAATGCCAGAATATATTCTGATAGAGTACATATATTGATTGAAGTAACTTCTTGTAGAAAAACAACATTCTTGAACCTTCAGTTGAAATATAACATGATCCTTATATATTCAAACATTGTAATGCAAATATAGATTCATACATATTCTTATAGAATAATAGTCTAAATACCATCCTTAAATATACAATTATTGAACAAATAGATTTGATTACTAAAATTAATTAATAGATAACATTAAAAATTT